CGCCTACTCCGGCAATTCTGCAACGCGTGCAAGCAAAGTTTCAAAAGTATATTTCCAGGTCTGACTGAGGTCGAGTCGAGCGAAGATTCCGGCAGAGTAGGCGAGATGTTGCTTGCTGACAAGTCGGCCTCCGCGTCCCGGAGTCCTGACTGCCAGTGCCACAGCCGTATGCACCAGTGACCAGTCACCGGACGTGCAAGATCATCATCACCCATGTCGGTACTCTGCCTGGCCTATTTATCTGCTGGTGGTGTCAACTCCGTTGCAGTTTGCCAGCTTGTTTGTTCCGGTACTCGTTCTTCACTGGTTCAGGTGAGCCTAGCTGCTTTTGCACAAAATACTTTGTGGATCCTGTGAGAGATCATGTAACTCGAAAACGAGACGTTGTTTGAAACAAAGGTAGAATGACAATCACTGCCAGTTCCACATGCACTTCTGACAGGAACTACGACAGACGTCTACGTGGCAGCACCAAAGGAGAGCATGGGATAGGCAACATAACAAGATAGAACATACATGCGCGCACGTGCATGTGTGCGAGCTTGTGTACACGCGCGCACGCCCACACACGCTTGCAAGCGTGTACTCACATGTGTGCGAGTGTGCATGAGTGCACACACACGCACAGACATGTGACTCTCTGTTCGCACACACACACACATACATGTGTGCGAACATGCGCGCATTCATCACACACGCGTGCGCACATACACACAGGTGGATGCGCACATGCCAATGCTCACACACACACACACGCATACACATGTACATGTGCACGCACACACACGCGTGCGCGCTTGCACGCACATACACACAGGTGGATGCGCACATGCAAATGCTCACACTCACATACACGCATACACATGTACATGTGCACGACACACGTGCGTGCGCACACACATGTGGATGCGCGCACGTGCATGTGTGCGAGCTTGTGTACACGCGCGCACACCCACACACGCGCGCAAGCGTGTACTCACATGTGTGCGAGTGTGCATGAGTGCACACACACGCACAGACATGTGACTCTCTGTTCGCACACACACACATACATGTGTGCGAACATGCGCGCATTCATCACACACGCGTGCGCACATACACACAGGTGGATGCGCACATGCCAATGCTCTCACACACACACGCATACACGTGTACATGTGCACGCACACACACACGCGTGCGCGCTTGCACGCACATACACACAGGTGGATGCGCACATGCAAATGCTCACACACACATACACGCATACACATGTACATGTGCACGACACACGCGCGCACACACAGGTGGATGCGCACATGCAAATGCTCACACACACACACGCATACACGTGTACATGTGCACGACACACGCGCGCGCACACACACACGTGGATGCGCACATGCAGGTGCTCACACGCATACATACATATAAACACACACACACTCATGCACGTGCGCGTCATTATCTATGAATCTCAGAAACATGCAACACGCGGTCAGAAGTTAATCATCACCAGTGAACTTGCTGTGATTGTGGTACCAACAACATGCTGTGCAAGAACGTCACCATCATCGGCTGCTCTGAGGTAGCATTCCAGAATGGCAATTTACAAAGCCGCTGTCTAGTGCCCTACTATCATCTCCACGGAGCAGCAGTCGGAACCCAGGAGATAACTGCTCGGCATAGCTGCAAACATCGCAAAGGTTACAGCACTGGATGCTTCTAGTGCAACGGGTCACACTGCTCGGCATAGCTGCAAACATCGCAACGGTTACAGCACTGGATGCTTCTAGTGCAACGGGTCACCCTAACCCTGTTCTATACTTGCTGGTGCATGTCCGAATGTGACAACCCAATCATTAGCGCCCATGTTCTGGATCGTCACTAACGCTTCCGCCCAGGGCCTTATTACGGGCTTCTACGGTACTCGCCGATGCATGTCCGAATGTGGCAACCCGCTCAGCAGCACTACACATGTGAGCAACAAGTGGACGTCGTTGGCAGCACAGAGCAGAGGATCGCAAACCGGCTGAAGAATGGATACTGTTCTCCATGATGAAGGGATCAAAAACCGTTCAACACAGATATTGCGCTACATCGTCTTGCCTGGATGTATGCGGTGGTGCCGATGCATATCGCGTCCATGACACTGTTTACATATCTGCATTCAGCCTTTGTTCACATAAATATGATGCACCGTAGCTGTAGTTTTAAAATGATTATATTCTACATGTTACCGCCACATTTACTGATTGCGTTTGCGGAAATTCCTAAAATATACTACGTCTACTACTTTTTCTCAATTTACCACACAAAGGACTGAATGAAGTAGGGAAATAATCATCCCATGATCTTCTACAATGTGAATGCTTCCACGTACGCGCATGTCATTGTGCAGCATCCGAAACTTCAACAAAACAATGATTCAAAGAGACGTTATTCAAGATAAGTCATGCATTTCTACGTTCACTGGTATAATCAAAGATTCCGTTCAAGGCAGCTGCCATGGTGTGTACCTTACCACCTTTAACACACGTTGTCAGTCCGCTCATTGACTAGCATGAAATCGTTTGTAGCAGGAGTACTCTTGTTTGTAGTGAGGATCAATCTACAAAACACTATTGGTAAAAACAATCCAGAGTCACCTCGATGGAGACGGACAGTTCCTACGAGACCTGCCTGTCGACATCAGGGTCAAGTGGCAAGCCATTTAGCCGTTACGCACGACAATCTCAGGAACACCAGCCATGTCCTCCTCCGACGAACCAGCTACTGTATGTTACTTCAGAACTCAGAACGACGCAATTATACAAACAGAATGAAAAATGCTTCATCGACGGTGTGACTTTGCGTTTCGCTTCGTGTTTCTTTGTGTTTCTCTTGAAAATCTAGCAAAATTGAGTCATTCGCATGAAAATGTCTGGTTACGTCAGCGAAACCCGCTGATTTTCCCCATTTTTCAAGCGCTGAATGGCGCAAAAACTGTGAAATCACGGCAACGAAATAGTGTTCGACGAGCGAACAAACCTCCTTGCACCGGCATTGGTGCACAGCTTCGGGACGGCCAAGTTCTCAAATCGTCCTCTAGAGACCCTTACCTACCTCTGTGCGAAGTTTCAAGTCCTCCCTCTGAAGTGGCATACCCCGAAAATAAAAAGCATCCTACAGATTTCAGCTCCCGGACTATAAGTACACATGTACTGTACTGTGTAGTGTGTAAAATGCATGGTGCAGTGGAACACCTAAGTACACATGTACTGTACTGTGTAGTGTGTAAAATACATGGTGCAGTGCAACACCTAAGGCTAAGTACACGTACATGTACTGTACTGTGTAGTGTGTAAAATGCATGGTGCAGTGGAACACCTAAGTACACATGTAGAGGAGACGGCTCGATACCGGGACGTTTTGACAGCCAAATTTGTATAGACCCAAACCGATCATCAGCGTTGATTTTTCACTCGAAATATGTTTGTGGAAGGAAACTGGCATGTTGAAGTTTGCTCTGGGGCCAGAGTCAATCGAACTGAGCCACTCCTTTGTGTTGACCCATTGCCTCCAAGTTGCCCAATTTTTCGCTTCAAAAAAGTTCAAATCAGAGGTGGCTCCAAACCGGACACGTTTTAGAGTGCCCGTCAAATTCACTCTGGGTCTGAAATTAGGTAATTGCTATCGCTCCACGACGGCCAGTACAGAGTAACAATAAGCCTTGTGTGTGCTTCCATTAGTTTTTATTGGTATGCGGTGCTTTATTGGCGAGAGGCGAGCCGCTGTTTCCCTGCGACAAGAAGTTGATTTTTCGAAAGTCGTAAAACTCAAGTCGCAGTGCGAAGCAACACGTCAAAAACTCACCTGCTTGATATGGCGCTTCTGGTCATCGCAGAGCCATGAAATTTTGGCTCGGAGTTTAACACATGTCGTAGTCTCACTGTGACATATGTTTTCTAATCAAAATACCAAGAGAGAAAGTGAATATTGAGTCCGTTCCGGTTTGCAACCGGTGTCCTATTTGAAACCGTCCCCTCTACTGTACTGTGTAGTGTGTAAAATGCATGGTGCAGTGCAACACCTAAGTACACATGTACTGTACTGTGTAGTGTGTAAAATGCATGGTGCAGTGCAACACCTAAGTACACATGTACTGTACTGTGTTGTGTGTAAAATGCATGGTGCAGTGCAACACCTAAGTACACATGTACTGTACTGTGTTGTGTGTAAAATGCATGGTGCAGTGCAACACCTAAGTACACATGTACTGTACTGTGTTGTGTGTAAAATGCATGGTGCAGTGCAACACCTAAGTACACATGTACTGTGCTGTGTAGTGTGTAAAATGCATGGTGCAGTGCAACACCTAAGTACACGTCACATGTACTGTACTGTGTAGTGTGTAAAATGCATGGTGCAGTGCAACACCTAAGTACACAATACTGTGCTGTGTAGTGTGTAAAATGCATGGTGCAGTGCAACACCTAAGTACACATGTACTGTACTGTGTTGTGTGTAAAATGCATGGTGCAGTGCAACACCTAAGTACACATGTACTGTACTGTGTAGTGTGTAAAATGCATGGTGCAGTGCAACACCTAAGTACACATGTACTACAATTATCATAGTTAGTAGCCTTAAGGATAAGTCCTTGTTACCTGAGATTAGTTACCAGGACAACAGGCACTTCGTACATAACTACTCTCTCACACATGCAGTCATCTTGAAACAATTATGCTCTATTTCTGATTCCTGGTATCATGAAGTACATAGTCAGCCATCTCTCTGTCCCCACGTCGTTTCTCCACTGACCAATATTGTCATTATGAAAATTAATGTCAGCCTTCAGCATAGCTCTGCTGTATTTGAGAGCGATGGAAAAGGGGATTTACATAAGGATTAGCCGAACTATAGTCACCATCAGTGCACACACAGGTGAAAACAGCTCAGTAACATGCTTCACCGCACTCATACATTGCATCCAGCACAACACATTGAGCAGCAGACAGCACACAGGCACACTGTGAAGGTCGGGTCTCCGTATGGATAACAAAAACAAGACTTCCGAATAATGATGATGAAAATAGAGAAAGTGCAGTGCACCGTACACTAACAAGTTGTGTACCGTAATGACGTAATGACGTAATGACGTAATGATCCGGCAAGGCAATTGCAGCAGTGGTACATGGTGTAAACCTTGGCAAAGTGTAAACGCATCATGTTGTGCAATGATAAGGAAAACAAGTGCAAGATCAGTGCAGACACACACACACACATTCTGTGCTGTAATTAAAAAAGAAGGCCTGCAAAGCAAATTGCTGTTCCGACAAAGTGTGTTCCTTACAGCCACAGAAAACAAAGTAAGAAAACAGCAGAGCATGAAAATACATTGCCGACTCCAACCATGTAGAATAGCAAGCGAAAGGCAACGGCAGCGAAAACAGCTGGCAACACAACAGCAACGAAAACAGCTGGCAATGAAAAAGCAACAAAAACAGCTGGCAGTGAAAAAGCAACGAAAAAAGCAATGAAAACAGTGATGAGCGGCACAAAGACCACACTGTGATCTCACATCATGGATAAAAGTAATGAAGTGCATGATCAGTCCATACACCCACCCACACACGTATTCTGTGCTGTAGTGATAAGAAATGATACAAGCGAAACAGCAGTGTACACAAACACATGTTGTGTAACTGCCACAGAAAACAAATGAAGACATCACTGCACACAAACCCATGCAATCATATTGCAGGTCGGTAGTGATGTAGGCTAGCAAGGGAATAACAATGACAAAAAGCTCACTGGGGTCTGGAATGATGGGTAAAAAAAAGAGGGAAACTGTGAGTTACACAAACAAATTCTGTGCTTTAGTGATGAGAAGAATAACAAGCGAAACTGCAGTGCTGTAGTTCACAAACATGATAATTGTGTCATGTAAAAAATAAAAGTAAAAAAACAAGTGACATCGCAATGCACACACGCACACATACATATTTCCATGAGGTAATGATGAAGACTAGCAAGTGAAGCTGCAGTGAAATGCACAAAGCATGTTGTGATCAGAAATGATGCATAAAAACAAGTCGAACTGTTCAACATGCAAACAATCATGACAGTGTGTTCTGTTCCGTTGTAGTACGAAAAGCAAGCCGAACGGGAACGTAAGGGCAAAAACACACATAGACATCATTGATGACGAAGAAGAGCAAGTGAAATGGCATTACACACAAGCACTTTGTGCTACAAAAAAAGCTAGGCAAATTTTGCAGGCGGCAAGAAGTGTACATGCACAAACAAACACACACACACACACACACACACACTCGCACACACACACACACACACACACACACACACACACACACACACACACACACACACACACACACACATATACACACACACACAAATACTCCCACACATACATACATTCGTAAAACAACTTTAAAAAGACGAGTGAAGGCCATAGTGAACACAAACACAAATCTATAGTGCTCTTCGATACTGAGGCAAACAAGTGAAGGATTTGTATGCATACATGCATGGCATATGCAAGTGAAGTAGTAAACAACAAATTGCCACAATGGCCAATTTCTAGCCAGCATCACTACGAATTGATAATGGAAGACATCAGACACTGTTCCGACTCTGGCGTCAGTGACCATGACAACGATGACCTGGTTGGAGAGTGTAGTCACCTGAAACCTGTATGTGACAAACAAACACATACATGTACACATCATTTATACACACGTGTACACATGTACACACACGTACACGTGCACACACACACACATGCACACACATACACACACCATGTACCATGAATACGCCCGTCGCAAAAGAAGCACAAAAATATGCGAATGCACTGGACGTGCACCCACAGATTTTCTCTAAAAGCAAGGATAGCGAACAAAATCTGAATGAGACAGATCAAGACTTGCGCCAGATAACTCTCTAATCCACACACCTGGCGAAGCCAGGTGAATCGACCACCAATGCACACCTGGTCTACACCACATGGAGGACATCTGCATAAAACGGCAAAGACAGTTATCTATGCACATCCTACACTTGCTGGGGTAACTAGTGTAGACAGCATGCTGCTTTGATAGAAGCAGACACTTAGATTCACTGGTACCTTGAAGTGAAAATGGAGTTACTTTACCAACCAGCCTCGGCTACTGAGTACTACCAACCCAGAGCCAACAGACATACCAACAACCTCAGTCATGAAAGATATTATAGTAAGGACACACTGGATTGTGGAGCCGAAACCAGTCCAACTTCCAAATGCTTACACACACACATACACACACGCACACACACACACACACCACACACGCACGCACACACACACTCACTCACGCACGCACACATGGACACACATGCACTAAACACACTTCAGTGCATACTTGGTCCATCTTGTAAAAATTGGCGGTTTTCTTCGCATTTGATAATAAGTTGATTTTTCGGTGTTCTGCCTGTGTTTCACGGCATGGAAGCACCGATTCACCGTTCTAACACAACCATTGTGCATTGCTTCCGACGACATGGCAGCACAAATCATCACAGAAGTTGCGATCGGTTCGTTTGAGTCTTTTCACTGGAGCTGGCGCCAACGAACACTTCCGTCAGCGCAAGAAATCGCTGCAACCTCTGTTCCAGTCCATAAAATAAGTCGGGATGTTCGCATTTCAGAGCGAAGGAGAATACACTTTCTGCTTACTTCCAGCTGTCTGGTGGCGAGAATGGTTGACCGCAGGGAGTGATAGAAAAGCTGGAAAAGTGCTTCGCGAGCTTGAATTTCAATGCTCGCACATTACAGCGCCCAGTGAAGAGTTATCACCAGCAAATCGCTGACGAAGAAACTACAGCTCATGTAGACATCTCCAGAACATGATACCAATCTGGCAGACACACTTTGAAGCTCACAGAGGACCAGGCAAAGGAGCTAATCAAAATGTACACCAAGTCCTGAGGGAAACACTCGTGCAAAGGACTTTCAGGAAACCAGCCGAAAAGACTGGTGCAATGCGCTGTGACTTAGGAAGTGAGGTGCAGTAGATCTACACATAGGTGTTACATCAATCAAGAGGAAGCTATCACTGCGGCCAAACAATTTTCAAGCAGTTGTCATGGCAACCGGCAGTGGTGATGTAATCATAGGAGTGTGCTGATCACTGACCTGATTAGACTCGATCACTCTCCGTCAGCAAACTGTTCATCTGCTCAAGCCGTGTTGTGTACAGTTGTCCATAACCCTTGACGATGTTGCACAGCTTGATGTAGCCATCACGTTCCTGTGCCATGATGATATCCAGCAGCTCACAGTTGTGGGCTTCCTTACCACGGTACTGCTCAGTGATCATAAGCTTGTTGATCTGAGCAAGATCCGTAAAGAAGCCGTGCTTCTGCGCTTTGCCACGTAGGCCAGCAGCACCTAGTGATTGCAGCCAGATGTGGATATCATCAATGAAGATGGCATGCTTGAATGGGTTCTTCAAGAACGTTTCTGAAAAGCAGAAAGGAACGTGATCATATATTGATGATGCCAATATACAATCTGATCCGGTACTGTTTCTGCCAAAGCAGCAAAGGCAGTATAAATGTTCTGCAGACAAAGTGCCTGTTACGTCAAATGATCAAATACCCTTAGAAACTATTCCAGCCCGTCAATTTTATTAAATAAACAACGAGGAGATAAAAGCTTTCCCTGATAAGTCTTTCATGAAAATTGATTACGAAATTTTGCTTTTAGATTCATCATATTCTTCTCTTTTTGTTTCGTATCCTCTGCCTCACTCATACTATTCTTGACTTGTTTTATCGGTTGAACGCGTCCTTATCGACATCAAGCTTTTAAGTTGTGCATTTGCGTCATAATGCATGCTGCCAGAACACTCTGGTTGACTTTGCTATGAATGAAGGCACAGTTTTCACATCTGACAATAACGAGATTGTTTCAATACTTCTATACCTAGATACCTGACAGTAACGAGATTGTTTCAATACTTCAACACCTAGGTACCTGACAATAACGAGATTGCTTCAATACTTCTACACCTTCGTAGATCTACCTGCCGTGGAATTTGCATTCACGGTGCTTGCAGAACTTTTCTCACGGTGCGTGCAGTACTTTTCTTTTCTCCAGCACATTTCAGGACAGGATGATACAGATTTTGCTCTCGCTCGTTTTTGCTCTCGCTTTCATTTTTAAAACTCACACTTGTGAATTTCACTGCTGTTGTTCTTAGTGTTATTTCTCTAACTTAGATTTTCTATGATAGCTCCATTTTGTTTTAGTGTCCTTTAGTACAACAACGATTCGTGATGAGTGGTGCACGAAAACTTGTTCGAATCCTTGTTTTCTCTACACAATTTCTGCATATTTTCATCGCTTTATTGTACATTGTCTCCACCGATTCACATTGTATGAATAAAGTGTACACAAATGTTGATTCAGCTTGTCTTATTGATTGCGGTTATCAAATTATTGTCTCCTTGCCGTTTGTTAAAGTATACTTATACCTCTCCATATTCACCCTATCATCCCTACAGCCCAACAAACGAGTCACGTTGGTCATACATGTATATGTACGCAGAACTAACGTAAGTCGTTGTTACTTCACTACACACTGGCATGTTCTTGCATGAATCGGAGAGTGATGTGTTCCTGACAGAGTCTTGTTCAACTTTTTGTTAGGATCGATCGTGTAGACATACAGCACCGAGTACTGCTCTCTTTACAGTAAGTATGGAAAAGTGGTGAATAAGTGGTGAATATCAAGCAATATCAACCATTTCTGTTGATGGTCAATTGCATGTGGGTGAATATGGGATGAAGTATAAGCCAGTGTATATAGAGCAAGAAGGTAGACAAGAAGGTATGTATTTTTGTGTGTTTTCGTGTATGTATATAGCATACAGACAGACTAAGACAACAATGGTAACAGCACACAAATTGAAGGGCAGTTGAGTGCAACTAGATAAGAACAGTATAAAGAGAGCAGTCTTATGTTAAAAGCAATAACGCACCTGTTTCTTCAGAGAGCTCTGCTTCATCCTCCTGATACAGGTTTGCAATGCGTTCGTCCGTTGACCACATGGCATGGCTGAAGATACACATGCACACACACACACACACACACACACACACACACACACACACACACACACACACACACACACACACACACACACACACACACAAACACACACACACATTCAAAATGAACAAACATGGAACATACTAACTATTTGATGACATAAATCGATCCTTGCACACACATGTACAGGGGCGTCGGAACCGGTGCGGCAGGTGCGGCCAAAGCCGCACCAATAATTTTCGAATTTTTTTGTCTTGTTAGTGGCTTGTCGACTCATCGACAATGCGGTGTATCATCAACATGCATATTCTTTTCATTATTCTAAAAGGCTTTTAGGCCCAATTTTCAAAAAAAATCCCGGTGGAGGACCCCGGACCCCCCCCCCTCTCACACTTTGGCCGCACCAATGTTAAACTCCTTCCGACGCCCCTGATGTAGATGCCCATATTGCTGGCCGCACTCCTGAGCGCATTTCTGCTCACACTCTTGCCCACGCCCAAACTCCTGCCCACACTCCTGTCCGCACACTTTGCCCACACTCCCCTGCCCACACTCCCCCCCCCCCCCGCCCACACTTCTATGCCCACACTCCCCTGCCCACACTTCTCTACCCAATCTTCTCTACCCACACTCCCCTGCTCACACTCCCCTGTCCACACTTCTCTGCCCACACTCCCCTGCCCACACTCCCTGCCCACACTCCCCTGCCCACACTCCCCTGCCCACACTCCCCTGCCCACCCTTCTCTACCATGGCTCCGGGTTCACGGATGTGTGTTTACTTGCTGACATTATACCATCCTTGGTTAGTGCACCCACACAGTTACTGGCCACAGCGTGAGCGGACCTAGCTTCCCCAGTTGACTACCTTTCAGAAGAACAGTGTACACTCTGCCCACACTCCCCTGCTCACACTCCCATGCCCACACTCCCCTGCCCACACTCCCCTGCCCACACTTCCCTGCCCACACTTCTCTGCCCATACTTCTCTGCCCACACTTCTCTGCCCACACTTCCCTGCCCACACTCCCCTGCCCACACGTCTCTGCGCGCATTCCTGATCACACTCCTACCCACACTCCTGCCCACACTCCTGCCAGCCTTTATGAACATGCTCATAGTCCTCCCCTCACTTCTCTGCTCGCATTCTTGATCACACTCCTGCCAGCCTTTCTGAACACGCTCATACTCCTCCCCTCACTTCTCTGCTCGCATTCTTGATCACACTCCTGCCCACACGCCTGCCAGCACTTCTTCCCACACTCCCTCCCACGGTACTCAGTCCTGCCTCCACTCCTCACTACTGCCTACACTACTGCCTGCACTACTGCCTACACTACTGCCTACACTACTGCCTGCACTACTGCCTACACTACTGCCTACACTACTGCCTTCACTACTGCCTACACTACTGCATGCACTACTGCCTGCACTACTGCCTGCACTACTGCCTGCACTACTGCCTACACTACTGCCTACACTACTGCCTGCACTACTGCCTACACTACTGCCTGCACTACTGCCTGCACTACTGCCTACACTACTGCCTACACTACTGCCTACACTACTGCCTGCACTACTGCCTGCACTACTGCCTACACTACTGCCTACACTACTGCCTACACTACTGCCTACACTATTGCCTACACTACTGCCTACACAACTGCCTGCACTACTGCCTGCACTACTGCCTACACTACTGCCTGCACTATTGCCTACACTACTGCCTACACTACTGCCTACACTATTGCCTACACTACTGCCTACACTACTGCCTGCACTACTGCCTACACTACTGCCTTCACTACTGCCTACGCTATTGCCTACACTACTGCCTACACTACTGCCTGCACTACTGCCTGCACTACTGCCTACACTACTGCCTGCACTACTGCCTACACTACTGCCTACACTACTGCCTACACTTCTGCCTGCACTACTGCCTACACTACAGCCTACACTACTGCCTTCACTATTGCCTACACTACTGCCTACACTACTGCCTACACTATTGCCTACACTACTGCCTACACAACTGCCTACACTTCTGCCTGCACTACTGCCTGCACTACTGCCTACACTACTGCCTGCACTATTGCCTACACTACTGCCTGCACTACTGCCTGCACTACTGCCTACACTACTGCCTACACTACTGCCTACACTACTGCCTACACTACTGCCTACACTACTTCCTACACTACTGCCTGCACTACTGCCTACACTACTGCCTACACTACTGCCTGCACTACTGCCTACACTACTGCCTGCACTACTGCCTGCACTACTGCCTACACTACTGCCTGCACTACTGCCTACACTACTGCCTACACTACTGCCTACACTTCTGCCTGCACTACTGCCTACACTACAGCCTACACTACTGCCTTCACTATTGCCTACACTACTGCCTACACTACTGCCTACACTATTGCCTACACTACTGCCTACACTACTGCCTACACTTCTGCCTGCACTACTGCCTGCACTACTGCCTACACTACTGCCTGCACTATTGCCTACACTACTGCCTGCACTACTGCCTGCACTACTGCCCACACTACTGCCTACACTACTGCCTACACTACTGCCTACACTACTGCCTACACTACTGCCTACACTACTGCCTGCACTACTGCCTACACTACTGCCTACACTACTGCCTGCACTACTGCCTACACTACTGCCTGCACTACTGCCTGCACTACTGCCTACACTACTGCCTGCACTACTGCCTACACTACTGCCTACACTACTGCCTACACTTCTGCCTGCACTACTGCCTACACTACAGCCTACACTACTGCCTACACTACTGCCTACACTACTGCCTACACTATTGCCTACACTACTGCCTACACTACTGCCTGCACTCCGGCCTACACTTCTGCCTGCACTACTGCCTACACTACTGCCTACACTACTGCCTGCACTATTGCCTCCACTACTGCCTACACTACTGCCTACACTACTGCCTACACTACTGCCTGCACTACTGCCTACACTACTGCCTACACTACTGCCTGCACTACTGCCTGCACTTCTGCCTACACTACTGCCTACACTACTGCCTACACTACTGCCTACACTTCTGCCTACACTACTGCCTACACTACTGCCTACACTACTGCCTACACTACGTATAGAATCAAGCATGGAAGGAAGGGCTTGGTGGAAAATTCATGCCCGCGTGTGTACGCTCGAGGGCTTGCCCAAGAGCGTACACACAAGGGCATGGAGTGCCCGAGTGCGTATGCCCGAGGGCTTGCCCGAGGGCTACGCACGAGGGTACGCATTTTCCATCAAGACCTTCCTACCATGCTTGATTGTGTTTCAAACATACCGCATACATCAACAAGCAAACACCAATCACCGATCAGCACGTCCTGATAACGTCCGGAGCTGAAAATGAGCACGGGGGCATGAAGGTATAAAAGCGAGACTCCTCTAGGGGTGGTGGTCGGGGACGTGGAGGATTCAGCTTGTTAGTTTCAGCTCCGTACGCTCGAGGGCTTGCCCGAGAGCGTACGGAGCTGAAACTTCACCTTGCTCGAGATGAAACTAACGGTTACTTCAGAACGAAACTTCACCTTGCTCGAGATGAAACGAACGGTTACTTCAGCACGAAACTTCACCTTGTTCAGCTGAAACGGAGCTGGAACTTCAACTTGTCAGTTGCAGCTCCCAAGCCCTTGAGCGTACGGAGCTCAGAACGAAACTTCAGCTTGTGACTGTGAGTTTGCCCGAGAGCATACGGAGCTGATACTTCGTGAGCTGAAACTTCAGAAACTTCAGCCGTGCGCTCGAGGGCTTGCCCGAGAGCGCACGGAGCTGGAACAGCTGGAATCCGAACATGGAAAACTGACCCCGGTGATTGCCACTTTACTTATTTTGGATTGCTAAGTTCAGAGCAGATAGATAGGTGCATGCTCTTTTATTTCGCTTACCAGAGCAAGTAACGTCAGTTCACAGTCGAATGTACATGCGAACTGAGCTGACAACGAAAAACTGCCAGTGCCCCAGACCCTTGCCGAGCTACGCTGATAGATGGCACCATAGCCTGGCATTTGCATAGCAATTAGCATGCATGCAGGGCATTGGATGTCACCGTACTCCGTAGCATGCTAGCAGGGCATTGCCATGCCGTAGTCCAGGCAATACACACAATTTCTGCCCTGGTACAAGTCGATGCTGATTGGCCGTCGGATGGCAACAAGCACGTGATATGTTTGAATGCCTGCACTACTGCCTACACTACTGCCTACACTACTGCCTGCACTACTGCCTGCACTTCTGCCTACACTACTGCCTACACTACTGCCTACACTTCTGCCTACACTACTGCCTACACTACTGCCTGCACTACTGCCTGCACTACTGCCTACACTACTGCCTACACTACTGCCTGCACTACTGCCTACACTATTGCCTACACTACTGCCTACACTACTGCCTACACTTCTGCCTACACTACTGCCTACACTACTGCCTGCACTACTGCCTGCACTACTGCCTACACTACTGCCTACACTACTGCCTGCACTACTGCCTACACTATTGCCTACACTACTGCCTACACTACTGCCTACACTTCTGCCTACACTACTGCCTACACTACTGCCTGCACTACTGCCTGCACTACTGCCTACACTACTGCCTACACTACTGCCTGCACTACTGCCTACACTACTGCCTACACTACTGCCTACACTTCTGCCTACACTACTGCCTACACTACTGCCTGCACTACTGCCTGCACTACTGCCTACACTACTGCCTACACTACTGCCTGCACTACTGCCTACACTATTGCCTACACTACTGCCTACACTACTGCCTACACTTCTGCCTACACTACTGCCTACACTACTGCCTGCACTACTGCCTGCACTACTGCCTACACTACTGCCTACACTACTGCCTGCACTACTGCCTACACTACTGCCTACACTACTGCCTGCACTACTGCCTACACTACTGCCTACACTACTGCCTACACTTCTGCAC